GGCCTGTTGGCTTGAGTCCGTTAAATAATTCACACCAACACCGTCAGCACCATCGTCGCCGCTGTCGCTGTTGTCCACCGATCATCCCAAATTGTACTTAACATTTTTCATATTATCATTCAAATAACTCATGGATAGATTAGCATAGCCTAAGCAATTTGACTTTGAAACGATTGCATTCATTTCCAGCACACCGGATCATTGTGTTTAACAAAAACCAGCACACAAACACACATTTCGTGTAATTTATTTGAGAAATCTTCGCATTTAGCGACAAAAAAAAGATGAACAGATGCTCTGTGGCCGAATAAATTCGCGAGCGACCTTAATCGTTGCACTGATGATGCGTTTCGATTATGTGGCATAATTGAAACGACGATTTATACACATGACACTGTCTGCTGCTGTTGCTGTGTGCTTCCAAGAAAGAAAAAAATTTGGCTGCAACCGAGTGAAAACATTTTAAATGGTGGCGTTTTGCATGCAAAACTGTGCGCGCACACACACTCACACAGAGGAACGACACTTTTTGTGCAAAATAAGAAAAGAACGTGGGAGCTGTCCGCTGTCTATCATCAAATACACACAAGTTTAAGTGATTGATCACGTTCGCGCACGTAATCAACAACATTCGTCTATAATCGGCTAGAAGATGGCCTAAAATACAACAATTTCGTACAAAGAATGAAGTCTGCGTCGTCAAATATGCGGCTATGAAAATATCTTGTCATAATTTTTCGTCAGTCTGTATTTCTTAAATTAACCATAAAGACCCACCAGATGTGCATGCATATAATACGTCGAGCTGCGCGTAAGTGTGTCAAAATGCATTTACAGTGCAGTGAACGAAAAAAAAAACTTTTATGATAATTATTATCATTGCAACAACTTGCAGTGCTGTGACCCCTCCGCTACTGCTCCTTCAGCGGAAATTAAGTTGTAACTCAAAACGCGGCTTTAAATTGAAAATAGAATGCAACTTTGCAAACGAAATTTCAATACTATTCGATGAGATTTCGTTCCGTATCGAAGCGATTCTCTCTGTGTGTTGACTTTCATTACATTTTTCCCGGTAGAACATGATGAAAAGAGATATTTTCGGAAATGCAGCAAAATCGTCGACATTTTCAATCGCAACACATTCCAATTGCATAATTGCAGTAGTTGCAGCATTCATGAATTCCAAAGAGCCATTAGAACCCAATAAAAATGTTGTTTTGAAAAATGCACTTCTTGGCATGAAAAGAGAATAACAAGGACTTGGAGTTGCGTTTACGAGCATTCAAGTAATTGCATACACCATAATGCATTCATTTTCGATGAATATACTGATTGAGATGTATTCGATTCGATACACTTTCGGTAGGCTTTAATAGCACGGCTGCAAATAATCTAGACGATGTATGTGTGTGTGAGCAAAGGCAGGAGATGTATATTATCCCCGAAGCGGAAACAGATTCTTAAAAAAAAAACGGGCGACGACGCGAACATATCGCAATAACACGATTCGTTCAAGTTTTGTGCAACAACATTCGCTATGAACTTACTTCATTTTTTCTTTCGCTGGGTTTGTTTGTTTGCATACAGAATCGATTGTAAATGAAATTGAGTTGAAAAATGCATATGATGCTCGCTCTCCCGTTGCTGATTCATAAAGTGCAATTAAAACCGTTCACTTTGTTTTCGTGCGAGTGCGTTTTGATAAAAACACACGATGATGTAATGAATGCGCACAACACAAACAACAAATCCGTAGTCATTGCGTTCGTTCGTCGGTTTTTGTGACTGTCTTTCTTTCTCGCGTTGTCTCCCTTTGATCATCGCTTCTTGCGGCTGCTTCCTAGAACATTGAATAGTCTTATGGCGGAAAAGAGTCATTTCTTTTGGGTTTTTTTCTGTCTTATTGCTTTCGCTTTTGGAAAGCAAAACACTATCGTTCGTTGGCATTCATTCTTACTTCGGGATAACTCAGGACTGCACTGCAAATATAGTCATGAGACAGAAAGAGCATACATTTCATAATACTATTTTAGTTTATGGTTTTCATATAAAAATTGGATTTTGAGACCCGGGCAAAAGTTCCAACGACTGAAGACAAACATCATTCGCAGACATTTGTATCCGTGTTTCGCGGAATTGATCAGGGACCCACAACAGCAAGATTAGCACACAGCGGAAAAGTAGTGCGAAAAGAATTGAGTGTAACATTTTATCAGCAAATAAAAGTGGTTTTAAAACGCTCATTTCACGACAGCAACAATATTTAAAAAAAAGTTGACGTCGACGTCGTCGTTAATCCAATTCATGCGGCTGATTGAATTCGAGGATAAGAGTGACCGTTTTTTTTTTCGACAGGAACACCACAAATGAACGCACAGAATTGAAGTAACGAAGAAAAAAAATTGAAGAAAAAGACGAAACGAATACAGATTTTAATAAACTCGCGAGCCGCGTTGTGCAATTACAGTCGGCTTGTCATGTGTGTACGACGTACGCTGTACGTACACATTATCTTATCACGAATGGCCTGTATTTAAATAAACGGCTTAGAAGAAGTGCGAGGAAATTATCGCATCGGAAGGAAAACCAACACTGTACATCTCAATAACACAATTAGCTACTAAATGCCAGAGAGTGCGAAAGCAATTTGGACGAATTTTTCATTCTTTTTTGCCAGTTTTATTTTTTTTATTCTGCTCTTGTTCGCTGTTTTGCATTTGGTGTTCGTTTTTTTTATCATAATAGGAACGCGGAATTATCGTACGCGTCCCTTTTAGCAAAGTGATTATCGGTGGCAACGGGCAAGTGGAAGTCAACACCCATTCAAATAAAATATGAATGATTAAGAGCACAAGAGCATTTATGAATAAATGAATCGGACATAGAAACGCGAACACAACTCTCTTGCGCGCGAGCTGCCTGAATGGAGTGTATGTATATGAAGTAATGTTTATCTGTGATATGGCCTATTTACATAACTTCCTCTCTGTAGCCACTTTGAAGCTCATCTCAACTCTTAGTTTACTTACTATTTGTTTCTACTATTTATTTTTCCACTCTAGTCGCCACTGATTCTCACATGCCGCCGCCACCGTCGTCGTCGTCGTCTTCGTTCATTTCTGTTAATGAGATGAGTTTTTGTTCATTTGCAGCTCGTAAAAATTCTAGAAACTACGAAACCATTGACGCGATAAAATCCCATTCGAATGTGTCAAATATACAGGCTCGAGCCAGAGTTGATGCTACGGAATCATGTAGTTCTTTGACCCAGAAAGAAATCACGACAAAATGGAAATGGCCCTTATACCAATGCACATAACTGACGCTTGTTGTTTCATTTCATTCATCCGCTGTATTATTTTCATATTTTTATTCATTCATATTCGTTTCTGCATTACGAATGACAAATCAACATGTTTTGATGCCTTGTTTTGAATTCATTCTAAATTTAATGAACCTAAATTGAGACACACTTTGTGCCGAATGCACGCAATGACACACACGAAGTAAATATAAATATTATGGGAGGTGAAGATTAAGGGAATTGGCGCCTTGCCAACTTAATTTATTTATTCAGAATCCAAATGGTACACCGTTGTTGACACGTCATTTTTTTTTCACAGTCGAGCCCTTGATCTTGACGATGCCGATAGTGATGATGATGGGAACACACCTAAATATAACCTATTCCAAAAACAGACTGTTGAGAAAGATTCTCATTTGCATCGTTTTCTAATGCGAAAATTAATTCATGCAACGACTAACTTCTCCATTTTCCGTTTGATTTCTATGGTTGCTAACTCAATTTTGCCATGTTGAAAATCTAAATATTTATATGGTTGAAAAGCATAACAGCTAGAAAAAGCAAAAAAAAAACAGCTAGAGTTTGCGATAACCTGACGATAGAATTGACTCAGCACGTGTCAGAGAAAACTTTTCAGAAGTCTGGAAATTGAAAAAAGCAACAAATTTTGGCTTTTCAAAGTTTCATTCAATGTTATTCATTAGAATTCGTTTTCACTGTCTTTCCTTGACTGAAAAAGCGTTGAAATTTAGAGTAAACACATTGCTTCTCCTTTATCATGTGGCTGGATTGAATTTTGTCTATATTTAGTATTTGGGTCACAACACTTCTCTGCTTCATTCGATTTTTGATTATTTTTATTTTTGGCCATTTCCCCTTTGTGAATTCCATGCCACGAACATTTCAATGAATTATGATTTCAAATCATTGTTTTATGCTCAATTCAAACTAATATTCCTATAAAAATCCATAATAGTCTCTTTTCCGCATTTTTTCCCTTTAGAATGCAAAGTCAATGTTTCCATTTTTGTGCTCGTAACAAGATTAATTTTCAAAGAGCGTCAAGCATCCGGAATCCCGTTGAACTTCAGTCGAAGCAAGTGTGATTGATGGAGATATCAATTCGAAAAATATTAGATCACAACCCGAGTACTTTCAAATTAGAACATGAGCAATTATCAATGGGTTTGCTTATCGTGACCTCTGTGGCCAGCTTTGCTGTTCCATTGAATGGCACCGTTTTCAATTCAATTGAAATCTCTCTTCATGGCGTATAAAAGCTTCTCTGTCTGTGTGTTATTTTTTTCTAATTGGAATTTGATAAACGACACATAACTTTGGTGTTTCTAGTTTGAATTGCGATAAAGAGAAGTGAATGCGAGATCTGTTCACTTCAATTACATGTAGAAAATTTGATAATCGAAACCGACTTGAACCATACGACGTTGTCAATGAATGTGCGTCAGTGGCGATGTGGTAGGTTTAACATGCGATCTGAAATACGAATGAAGAAGAGACAGAATAGTCAATTATTGTGTTGAGCACAAATCAATTTATTCAATGTATACTAAGCTAAATACTGAATATACTGGCTCTTAAAATATTATTTCTTCATGAGTAATATTCTTCATTTGTCTAATATTGTATTTTTTGTTTTCCTTTTGTAGCTATATATTTTTAAAAACTCGTAAAATACTTTTATTGTAGTTGCTTTTTATTGTAGCTCATATTTTATTCTAATTAGCTTTGGAATTTTGGGAAATTATCGATGATTTGTAAACAAATGAAAATGCAATACTGTTCAGATTAGAACAAAAAATAGACAAAATAGGTAGTTATTTTTGGCTTAAAAAAGTAAAAAAAAAATCGAATGACATATAAAATTAATCGATGAGAAATCAGTTGAAATTGATCAAATTTTGTTTCAGTTTTGTGGCACTCCAATTTCTTGTTTCATACAACATTGCCAATTACCAACTGTAATTGCAATTTACATTCATGTTTAAGGCCTTTTCTGTGTTCACACACATTACAAGTGCACTCTCTTTTCACTTTAATCATTTTGTTGATATTGTTTCTGTTTCGCTGTGAATATTTGGCATTCAACACATCATTGAGATTATATTCGAGTTTTGGTTGTTTTTTTTAAATTTATACATTATAAATGCTTCCATTAATACTACTTATAGTACATGATATTTACTTACAATTTATTGCAAAATATATGTATTTATTATACTAGATCAACTTTCTATTCATCTAAATCCAAAAATTTGGTAATTAATAATAAATGAGGTGTGAAATTCGAAATGAAGTTTAAACTTAACGGAAATTCTTCTTTTTTTTAAACCAAGAAAAAGTAACATAGATTGTGTTCCGGTACACCGAACAAGAAATTCTATAGAATTTTTGCGAAACAAAAAAAAGTGGTAAAAGTTTAAAAAAAAAGTAGAAATGAAGTAAAAAAAAAACATATGGTAAATCCCTGCCATCTTGAATCTTCTAATCTTCAATACTTTGTGTTTGTTCTTATCGACTTTCTTTTCTATAACCAGAAACTAATGTTCCCAATTTTTTTATGAATTCTATCTGTTGAGCATTTTGAAGTTTCATTTTTCAATGATCTAGGCCGGTTGCCTGTTCGCCTCTTTCCACGTGTTCGCGCAAATGGAACAGTAAAGCTGGTGCGCTGGTGAATTCTTCTCGGCAAATGATACACTCGGCTTTGGATGTGCCACCGTTTGAATTGTCGTGCTCTTGTGTGACGTGATGAATGAGTTGTGCTGAGTCGTTGAAGGGTTTGTTGCACCATTTGCAGGTGTATGCCGTGTTTCCACTGTGGTAAAGCATGTGCTTGCTGAGATACGACTGCTGGCTGTAGGACTTTTGGCAATAAGTGCATCGGAATTGCTTTTTGCCCGAATGCACCTTCATGTGCATCGACAAACTACTTTGCTGTGTGAATGTTTTATCGCATTTTTTACACGCAAATGGCTTTTCACCTGGAATATTGATGCAAATTATGAGTTTTTATTCGCAGAATGACTTGAATCTGTTTTATATTTGATTTTTAATTTTTCAAGGTGTTCTTCTCGTTATAACGAGATCAACAGATAAGCTCATCAAAATAGTTACCCGTATGAATTCGCATGTGTGTATTCAGGCTGCCAGGTTGAGTAAATTGTTTTTCACCTGAAAAGAAAAGAAGAAAAAAATATGTCATTTTTTTCTTTTCTCTTTTCTGTACCGGTTAATGATCAATGTGTTATCTAAATTAAATCGAGACACTCACAGATGCTGCATGCAAACGGTTTATCACCAGTGTGGTTTTTCATGTGCTGCACCAATTCGCAGGATTGTTTGAATGCTTCGCGACAGATCGAACATTGATAGAGATAGGTGTCGGTGTGCGTGAGTTGATGTTCCGCCAACAGTGTGGCCGTTTTGAATCGTTTGTCGCAGTCTTTGCATGCGAATGGATCACCTTCGCTGTGCGATTTCATGTGCAAAATTAAGCTGCTCGAATTCACAAAACCCTTTTCACACACCTCACACTGGTGTGGCTTTCGCGTTGCATGCGATCGCATGTGAACCATCAAACTACTTGATTGAGTAAAGCATTTTGTGCAAAGTTTACATTTATACGGTTTTTCCCCGCTGTGAATACGGATGTGTGTATTCAGGCTGCCTATATGAGTAAATGACTTTTGACAAATGCTGCACTGGTATGGCTTGTTTTGTGTGTGCGAACGAACGTGCTTGGCCAAATCGCCAGCGAATATGAATGAGCTGTCACATTGGGTGCATTGAAACAAACAGGATTCAGGCGGTGGTGCTTGACCATTCAATGTGGGTAACTCTCGTCGACGACCTCGACCTGGACCTTGTGCTACAATCAAAAACAAATTCAATTAATTTTCGAAGGTCATTGCAATTTCAATTTTATTTCCAACTTACGTAATGACAATGCTTTTTCTTTGCTTCGATTATTCGACGATTTTCGTTGTCCATTTTGCTGCTGCTTTGGCTGTTGGTTTTTATTGTTCGCTTGCAATTGTAACAGGTGATGTTGTAGCTGCATTTGTAACTGAATCTGTAGCCGAAGTTGCTCTTCGTTCAACGGCATTCCAAGCATATTATTTTGCATCAGTTGTGCAATTACGTTAGTGGGTTGAAGCAAACTGGGCCGTTGTGGTGCATTTTCGTTGTCATGGTCGTCGTCATCTTCATCATCCATCTGCCTTAGTTCACAAATTGGTTCCAGCAATCGCGATAAATCTAAGTACTCTTCATCACTGAGCTCATGCTCTGAATCACTTTCGAAACCATTTTCACCGTCTTCGCCTTCGTACAGCTCCTGATGCTTCATTTTCATGTGTTCGTACAAAATGTTTGGGTCATCGTAAACATTGCTGCATACAATGCACTGAAAGGTCAAGTCTGACTTGAAGCGTTTCGATGTCGGTTCGTATGATTGTGAAGATGCCGCAGTACGGATCATACTTTGATTGCTGCCATTAAACTGGGGAGCCGGCGATATTTGCACCTCCATTTTTCATTTGGAATTTTCTATAAAGAGAATAGCAAAAAAAAATTTAGAATGAGAAATATTAGGAATGGAAATGAAAAACTATTGATTGGCTTGAAATATCAATTGAAGGAATTGGAAACTATTGTTTTTGTAGAAAAAACATGTCAACTAACATCTGATATTCAAACGTAAATATTTAAAGACGACCGAAAATACATTGCAGTGAATGTTATTAAAATTGATAGAATACGATCCGAAATTTGGTTTGAAACTGGCGGTTGTTCTATTCATGTGTAATTTAAATAATTCATTCACACATCGGAAACTAGTCGAAATAAAGAACGTCAATCGAACTGAATGACATGTGATCTCCATAGAAACGAATGTGGTCTGAATGTATTTCGAATTCCGTGCCAAGCACATATGGTTGCATTGCATCGTGTTTTATTCATTTTTCATAGAGTTGAGTACATACACTAACGGTATATTGTGAAACGCCGGAAGACGCGTTACTACTAGCATACTGTCTCATTTATGATCCGATTTATTTTTATGCTCACTAAAATGAAATTTTGAATAAAGCAAATCTGATGAAAAGTCATTTGAATTTCCGAGATTAAATTTTCCGTAGAAAATCAGTGTATTCCATTGCTTCGTTCAAAGGAGGCATCCACAAGTGAAAATGTTTAACAAAAATACTGCAAGGAGGGTTCGAACGTATAATTTTAGAAATTTTATTATATTGCAATTAGCAAGCAAGACTTGTTATGTTTCATGTAGCTGTAGTAATATTGACTCGACCATGTACATATATGTGTACATGTAGGATGCGGTTTAAGTTGCCACCCCTTTTTTGTTGGTTTGTCGTAAACCTAAACCGAAAAATTCGAAAATAATGTGAGCGTAAGCAAAAGCATATACATAAATTATTTGGTAAATTCATGCAAACCCCATCTATTTACTGAATCCACCCATATTTGGCTACGGGTTTTTCATCCTACATTATAAATAGCATTCATTTTGTTCAGTGCATGTAGTTAAAATACGGCAATCAAAGACTTATCGCCGGCTTGCAAATTATTAACACAAACTCAGTGGGGTGACTGGTAAAGGCATTAAAAATGAAATGAGATAAAGAAGATATCGATATCGCCATTTTTGCTTGGAGTCGATTTTTCGTGGAATTTCCACTTAAAACTGATTTTTGTTGTTATTTTGCATCACAAACAATTCAACAACATTGATTGACTTTTTGCAGTGCATCGAAATTATTGATGGATATTATTTGTGAATGTTCAAAAGCATTCTCCGTATCGAATACTTAAAATTTATTTAAATGTGTCCAACACACACACACACACTCATTTATCTTTGTTTATCATCAATTCAAACAATTTTATTTTTTTATTTATTTATTCACACTGCGATATACAAGCTAGCGCTGGTTATTTTTAATGATTTGTAAAATGCATGCTTTTCCCTCCGAACGCTCTCGAATCAAGCGAACGAAATCATCGCCGTTGCGATGAAATAAACAGAATATGTATAATTGCAGTGTGTGTATGGAATTATGGAAAAAAGGGCCCCGAGAATTAAATAGAACAATATAAAGATCGTAAAGACCCAAAGACTGCACACATAACTTATATACATAACGAACAGTATAAACCACTTCTTTCGTAACTGTCTCTCACTCGCTCGCTCGCTCTCTCTCTCTGTGTCTCTCTTCCTTTTTCTTCTCTATATCCTACAAATCGATGTCATGGCTTACACGTAGAGAGAATGCGAGCGAATCTGTTTAGTCAAAGCAGAGCACGTATTGTTTAGGTTTTGTTAAATATATTATAGAAATATTCTACGCAGACTGAGATAATATAGATGTGTAGCTCGTGTGCCATGGAAATTATTGATTTTTTTTTCACTCTATTTTTCACTCTCATCATTTTTGTTCCATTTTGCGTTTCTCTGTATGATATTGCGATAATGAATAAAGTTCATGGCTTTACATTTACATTTTTCAAGTTATGATTTTCTTTTATCGCAAATTATTTCTTTTTCTTTCTCTAACTTCTTTTCTTGGGCAAGATTGATTGTTGCGAAAAAAATTTTTATTATTTTCTCTACAAAATTGACTTCTACTTGCATATATTGGTGCATAGACTTTGAAAAACTACTTGAATATATTGGTTGAAAAATCACAATTATGCATGCAGCACACACTCACTTTCGATAATTTTGACTGTAAAATATTTTTAGAAAACAAAAACTATTCTAACGCGCAAAATACCAATGTTCAGAAATACGACAGCTACAACGAAATCAGTACTGTACTAACCGAAAATTTCCAAGAACTAAATTCAAAAACAACAATGCCGTCGTTTATGTCTATGTGTGTGTGTGTGTGTGTATGTTCTTGTGTTACTCAAAAGAGTTTTACAGTAAGAAAACAAAAATAATTAAATCAAAACGGATTGAAAAAAGTATGTGTTCAATACAAGAAGGAACGAAACCGACTGTCATCCTATCTAGATGTTGTTTGAACTGCATACGATCGCATATTGGATTTGTAATAATACAACGGGGCCCCGAGTGTCGAAAATGCACAACACAATACCGAAGCATTGAGACGAAGCAGGACGAAACGATATAAATCATGGTTCAGCACGATTTTCGTGTATATTTCGTTTACATTAATATAACAAATAATAGTAATAACACAACGAAGCGTTGTTTTCTTATGAAATACGTTTAGTGTGTGTAGTTGTGTGTGCCTGTGCATTGAATAATGATTTCTTTCTTTTTTACGTCTTTCTTTCATATATAATCTCTTCATCCGTCTGCAATGGCAAACCATACGAAGAAAATATGTATTTGAATAGCGCAGCGCCGCAGAAAAAAAACGTATATCCCTTGATTGAACAGATAGAAAACGATTTTCCACAAGAACAGAGATAAAAAACGTCGTATATTCTAAGTAGATAAAATGTATGATGATGATTTTACCTTGAGCCAAAAATTTAATGTAAATTATTGCGACTTGACAAACTTCACGTTGAATTCAATAACTTTTTGAACACAATCAAAATCAAATTTGGATACACTTTAAATCACTTCAACTTAATGGGAAAATCATTTAAATTTTACGCCGAAATAAAAACGGAAAATGCAATATTTGCAACGATAAAACGAAAAAAAAAACTGTAGGTGAATCGGTGTTAACGAAATAAACGAAAATACGACAGGACCATGGAAGGAGGACGTTTGCCGCTTGTGTCTTCAAACTCGCTTCTGACTGAAGATTCATTATTAGAACACTTTATCATCGAGGCTGTGTTTCGGTGTGTAGTCTTACCTATATGTATGCCGTCCATTCATGCACAACCGCTCGGATGTGTTAGTGTGAATTATGACAATTACTCACATGGATGTGATTTTTATACGCATGCGGCAAACACACGTTGCTAGACAGAGACAACCAGTGCGAATGGATGAGCCGCTGTTCAGCTGGGAAGCGGGTCTCGCTCGTACACCGTTTCATTTTTGACAGAACTATGCATAACGTTGTGGTAGGCTGACTGAGTGTGATAATAAATCGATTGTTTACATACATTTTGTCGTACTAGATTGCTCCGTACGTTGGCTGTCACTTGCATTCATTCGCCACTCTCACACTGTGAATTTATAAACAAATACACAATCAGCATGTATGGTTTCAATAGATTCGCTTTTTTATTCACATGATTCATTTTTTCTTAATGCCTAGTATGGTTTATTTGGTGATGACTAATGATTTCAAATCGTAATGAGAGAAGTAAATTAATTGGTAACAGAGAGAAAAAAAGAATTTGGTCGATGCTGATTGCTTATCGTAAATAGGTGTGACATCGCAGTAATTTTACTGCATTTCGGATGAATATTTTGTGGATTGTGTGTTTTTGTTGTTGCTTCTGGAGACCGTTCAAACGTTGCGCACGAAATCAGGTCGTCGACGACGGGTGAAAGTTCGTTCGGACATGCCATTTTTGAACTTGTTGTAGCGATTTTGTGAATTGGTGTATTCACGTCGGTTCGATGTATCGTTGTTGATGTATTCATCGGTTTGTTGAGATGCACGATCATTGGAACCATTATGCGAATCCGTTTGTTTTTCGTCATCCAAACGAGTTTCACCGTTGCTACGCTGATGGTTGTTGTCATCAGACTCATTCAATCGATGCTTTTGTCTACGATTTTGGTATTGATTTCGGCGCTTCGGTTTCTTTTCGACGTTCGTCTCATTTCTTCTGTTCACTTCATGGTTTCGATTGACTTCATTGTTTCTGTAGACTTCTTTGTTTCGGTTGGACCAAACGGCCTCGTTATTTCGATTGACAGAGCCATCATTTCTTGAACGACGACCCGAATCATGCCAGTCCACTGTTCGTCGATTTTTATTGCCAAAATTCGAGTTGTAGAAGTAAATTGTCGGGTAGTTGAAGCGTTGCTCATGGAAGATCAATTCCGGTTCATGTATTGCTTTTTGTGTGCGGTCATCGTTCTGTGATTCCGATGCCATCAAAGATTTTTCTTCTTCAAAACAAATAACACTCCACTTGGTCTGCTGTGCATTCAAATCATCCATCGTGGTATTGCTTTCGTTTGTGTCTTTGACGTCATAGTGTATTTTGTCCGACTGCATTGGTGAATCGCAACTTGGTAGACTCTTTTGGAAGTCAACGGTGTTTGGTACAGTTTCATGTTGCATCGGTTCGTTCATACGGTTTACATCAGGTGCACCATCAGTCAAAAATGTTTTCTGATTATCCACTCCATCGCCAATTCCAACTGGAAAAGCGGTGTTTTGTTCAAGCGGTTCGGTGCTGTTGTTCTGATTCGACTGTTCAATATCTGGACACTGGTTCAATTGTTCGGTATCGGTGTTTTCGTCAACGAATTTTTGATTCTTTGGTCGCCGCTTCTTTTTCGTTTTACGCTTATTTTTATTCATCGCTGAGTTCATTGAAGTGCCATGGTCACTGCTATCCAAGTAGCCTGTATAGCGATTGGACACGTCACAGCCGTAGTCCATGTTTAATCGAAAAATCTAGATATGAGAGAAAGAAAGCAAAAAAAACGTCAGCGCCAAATTCCCATTTATTGCAAATGCAACAACAAAAATACTGTTATGTGTGCTAGCTATATACTATGACTGCTGAATCATTATTACACATTTTGCTATGTGTAAATTGCGTCGGAATTTTGTCATTTAAACCGTCATCGTCGTCGTCGGCGAGGCGACTTGATGACAAATTTAATGTTTCACCAAAATGATGTAAATCACAATAAATATTCGATTTTTGATTTGATTGATATTACGATTGCAGAAGAAAAAAAAACACTTTCTTTGTTGTTGTTGTTGTTTTACTTACGTGCGTTTGCTTTTGGTTGTGTTAAATAATACTTTGATGTGATTTGATGTGAATTTCTTGTGATGCTCAATAACAATATGCTCTGGATTGTGCTCAAAACCAAAATAAAGCCCCGTTAGATCATGCCATCCCATTGTACGGTTGTGAAACACTGCGTATGCGAATGCATGTAGACGACGACGTCGACGACGTCTCTCCTTAATTTTTTTTCTCTTCTTTGGTATTGTATGCTTTTTGGCAGATATTTTGAATGCTCCGATAAGTTTATGGAGACCAACGAAACAGCACCATCTGTGTGTGAGTGCTGGTAATTTTTCCACATTCCTACTGAGAGTTAGAATAAAATGTGTTGCAATAAAGTGTATGGCTTCAATGATTTCCGTCTATTTATCATCAAAATTGCTTATTAAACACAATTGAAACCGAAATTTCATGTTTTTCAAGCAAAATCCACCCCATTCAATTGGCCGTTTGGTTTCTCCAAATTTGAAATTCAAATCGGGCAAACTTCACACCACTCTTACATATGTTGCTATCAATTCGTGTATACAGAGTATACTATACTCGCCGTGTGCATGTGTTCAGAAATGTGCGACAGCGAACAAACGCATGTTGTCCGTACCGCAATACGTATTCGGGGAAATTTCGACGCGTTGTAATTTATTGAGCTCGAGACATAGTCGCTGACTTCGGTACGATTTAGAAAGAATCTAGTGCTTTGTGTGTGCTATGGATTTAAAATGGATTTAAAACTGGAGAAAAAACTTTATCATATGGACATCTATTGATTTATTTTCACTGAAACATTTTTGGGCGTAGCAATAAAATAAATATTTCCACATCAAATGTCATCCAATTGACTGCCAATTTATTACAAAATCCGCCCAATTTCAATTCGAATGTGCAATTGTTGTGGATCTCAAAAGTCAACAATGATCTCAAGGATAAAATCACAATCATTATTTCAAAAGCTAATAAACAGGCAAAAAAAACGACAAAGAAGCTAAACGAGTTTCGTACCCGTTTTGAGTATTTAGCACATCACACTCAACAGTAAAAATATCAATTTTGAATTTAAAAAAAATTACTTTATTAAATGAATCATTGTTAGGTACATCAAAACGTTGAAACAAACCTTTACAAGCGGACAATCCAATCTGGCCATGAAGAAAGAATACCATAATGGGATTATTATTACATCAAATGACTTACAATTGAATAGTAATTTGTTGAAAGAACCAATCAATATCTATTCAGATGTGCATTTATCGTGGACCACAAAGACCAGCAACAAAAAGCCACGTAAGGTGTGAGGATCTTAGACATGTGCTTTTATATTATATTTTATATATGAATTGATCAAAAATGGTAGAATTGTAAATTAAATTGACAGCCTGGGTGTGTTTTAATAAAACTTAAAGCGTATGTGTTCCAATATTTCCATAAAAAAATATGTTTTCACGTATAACGTACTAAATTAATTAAGAATTGAGATCAACAAAGCTTTTTGGTTTCATAGAAAGATTTTCCATGCGGAATACATGCGTCCATTGATGCAGTAGTGTTTCTCACTATTATCGTTGTGTGCTACTACGGACGAGCGCCATACTATTGCATCAGTTAACGCAGATGTGTGTCGGGTAGGAAAATATTGGAATGTAAAAGTGTCCAAAATAGTGCTTTCCCCACGTTTTACGAAAACAGAAAAAATAAATAATATATTCTTCTGCTTGGTACATATTTTGAAAGGAGACCAATATAGCAACATCATCTATGTGTCGGCGATAGTACTCTTTTCATATTCTGTCTAATACTAAAAATGAAATTTATCGAAAAAGAATCCTATTAAGATGCAATGAATGTTAATTTCCTGACGCTAGCTCTCCGTCCAACCAGACACCAGAACTAAAGTCGGGAGCAAAGTTTAGAATTGAAATTAATCGAACATCAATATTAAAATGTTTTAAAATAATTCCAATTAGTCGGTCGTTTTATTTCTCCACATTTGAAATTCAAATCGAGCCAACTTCACACCAGTCTTGCATATGTTGCTATCAATTCTTGTGTATACAGCGTACACTTGCCGTTGTACATGTGTCCGTATGTTTTTTCAAACGTGCTGCACTGCACACACATACACACAGTGAGATGCTCAGTGTTGGCCTAACCAATACAAGCGGCTTACGTAGACAGCAAAACTACCGACAAAAAGACACAGACTACGTACGATACGCCGAGAGCGCAAGCAATTCTTTCGTGCACTAGAAGAGACGGCAAAAGTGAAGCGCGACACACACAATAAGAGACAAGAGAGTGAGAGAAAGAAAGAGATTGAAAGGCAAGAAAAATAAAAGTTATCGTCTTTTTTCGGTGTCCATTTGTTTATTGTTGCTGCGCTCTCTTTCGATCGTGAGACTCAGTTGAAGACGATTCGGTTTGCATGTTGTGAGTGTGTCGACTTCGCCAATTCAAACGGATGCCCATTGATTTTTAAAATCGGTGTTCTTCGTACAGTCAGTGTTGAGGAATTTTTTGCTCGTTGTTTTGAAATCAATTCATTAATCGTTGCGTTCGTTTGATGCGAATTGCACCGATTTTTTTTTATCCGAGATAGTGTTTCTAGTGATAAAGCATTTCCGAAGCTTCGTCAACGTCAACCAAAAATAAACCATTTTTTTGGTTGGTAAAATGATAATTGAAATTTCCTTTTGCTACTGATAACGTGGTGTGCGCGTATATGGCCAAAATAAGTGAATGAACGAAAACAATTCGTAGAAAAATGAAATGAGAGAGTGATTCCAAGAGAAAAAGTGCACCGATTTCATTCACTGCTGTTGTTAATCATATAGTGTGGCACGTTCATAAGAAACTCACTTCTCAAACACAGATCGGAATTTTTTTTTACCGCTCCGTATATGGGCAATGTGCTTACAAGTTTTGTGGAAATATAAGATCAGTGAAAATGGAATGAAACCTCTGTGACGCGGTTAATAACAAGTTTTAGACGCGCGCACATGTGAGAGATCTCGACTAAAGAGAGTGAGCTAGCTATCCAGCGAGATTGAAAATCGAAAGTAATTTCTAATTGAATGGAAAAAAGGAGCACCCATTCGTCTATTGTAATCGATTCAGAGTGGAAATTGAGTGTGCTGAGAAGGTGATCCGTTTACGTTTATCGTGCATGAGTCTCACGTCACAAAATATAAAATAATCATCGAGACACCTACAGTTGGATTATCCGTGGGGTATATATTTACACGAACACATATTTGCATGATTATAGAGGTAGAGAGAATCGTTTCAATTGACCTTTTCGGTCGCACCAAAAAAAAAACAAAAACCAATCCCAAGTTCGTTCAAGTTGCGGCGCGAACGCGATATTCATCGATAGTTCATCTTTATTTCTCGCTTTTGTTTTACATGGGTTCGGAAATACCATCGCAAACACCATAGCCAGTGACGATGCGATATTTTATGTTGTTTTATCGGAACCGCACTAGTTGAACATCTCGCCGTAATTAAGACATGATTGGCCTCTTTGATTTGGTCAAGCGTTCAACTCTTATGGAAGAGAGCAAGCAGAAAAAAAACAAATCGTTTACAAAATACGAGCATTGCGCGATTGCTTCACATATCGCATTGTAAACGGCTCCGGTTTCAATTGAATAAAGTCAAAACATTGCTACTGCCGTTTTTTTCTCGCTTGTTCTGTTTCATTTTCGTAAATATGTTTTCGTTTTGATTTCATTATACTATATTTCGTATGTCTGTTTTGCATGCCCATCAGTTTTGTATTTCACTTGCGTTGACGATATTTTTCCTGGTCGCGCTGATTCGGTTCTCATGGTTAAACATATATTCATTCTATTCACTTTAAATGTTTTCATCCGGCTTTCAATGGGTTTGTTCACGTTTGTTTAGCACTTTGAGTCTGTGTGTATTAGTGCGTTTTTTTCTCTTCTTATTGCATTTGCCAGGCTCATAGACATAGACAGCATTGGAGTGTATGTCTCGCCATTTTACTAAATAGACATTTAATTTTATGCAAATTAATGTTTTTAACGTTTTAAAACGATCAAATTGACGATAAAAGGAAGAAAATCATAGTAATAATGCCAGGGCATTGGGTATATACATGTATGCATAGCATACACTCTATTGTTTCAATGTGCTAACAGTTAATATTTGTCATAAAGGCAATTTTAAATCGCTGAGAACATGTTGAAGTCGACTAAACAATTGCATTGTTGCCTACAATCGAAATAGCCAATACGTGTTTCCGAATGGATTTTTCCAATATCGATTACGGAATATTTCATAAGATACAATAAATAGTTTCGAATCATTTGGCTTATGCTTCGACCAAAACCAGAAAAAAAGCAATGATTCTGCCGTGAAAAGGTATTGAGAATGGGAAAAGAGAGAGAGAGAGAGATAACTACAAGGCGGATGCATTCGCAATAGTGTTTCTAATCAACTCCCACGTCATTATTAATTATAGTGTTTGTGCACGGCTCTTTTTTCTCTCTTTAACACATCGGTCAATAAGTCCCGAGCCTAACCACCAAGTGGCAACACTAATGTCAAACCCATATCATTTTCGAAAACTACAACCTTTTTTAGGAATCCAGTCAAAATTTGAGCCAAATCCGACCATCAGTTTGCTAGTTACAGCTATACGAGAGAAAGACTCCCGAAAATGCTTCAATTTTGCCGTTAAAACGGTATAACTTTCTTCTGATGCATATATAAAGGCAAAACCCTATTCAAATTTTACTTATACAGCTCCAAACGGGCTTCGAATCCCCAAAAAACTGTTCTATCTACTCCATATCCAAAAACGCGGCAAGGCTTTTTCGATTGAGTATTTCATATGCATATATCCATGCAAAGTTGTAACTATAGCTTGAGTTAGTTGCCCTATGGCCTTAGCAAATCTATGAACTATCACATTTGAGAATTCCGATATCACTTAACGGATTTTGGCAATGATTTCTTCCAAAACCACATATTTTGAACAATTTGGAGGCTTATCGACAAAATCGCTCTTATGGCTATGCATAAATTCAATTCTTCCATATCTAATGATTGATTTCGAAAGCCTAAGGATGCCATAAACTAATCATAGTATGGGTTTGGTACTCCTGCTCGTTTTTCTTCTGGAATACATGTGTCAAATCGAGAGGAGAAATGCAGTTTTTCCATGATTTTGGAAAATTGGAAAATTGCTTCATTTAAAGTGCTGTAATTAGCGAACTGATGGTCGGATTTGGCTCAAATTTTGACTGGATTCCTAAAAAAGGTTGTAGTTTTCGAAAATGATATGGGTTTGACATTAGTGTTGCCACTTGGTGGTTAGGCTCGGGACTTATTGACCGATGTGTTAATTTGTCGACTCGGAATGTTCATTTCCCTTTTCATCATATAAATAAAACGCACGATCGCGTTCGTTGACAACAGGAAAGAGTTATGTGAAATTCCACGGCAGTTTTTGTTTCACCTCCTCATCTGTCTCTGTCTCTCTCTCGGCCTCTTTCAGTCTCTCTTGGTCTCAGTCGTTTTCGCTTTTTCGCTCTTACGCTCGCTCGCTCGCTCTCCCCCAGCCAATAATTTTCGTAGTAATTTTCGATTGTTGTCATCAAGCCAGTCAGCACCGACCATCGTTTGTCGTATAAGAAACGAACATAGAAAAAAAGGTGCAATGAAGCAAGAAAAGTCTGTATTTTTCGTTCAAACAATAGACACAATTTGAATTGTTTTGTCATTTGAGTCGCACATAAACTAAGCAGACAATTAAGAATTTTCCCCATTGTTGACAAAAAAACAACGAACACGACGACAAACAAAGAAGCGAAAAAAAATTTCTGGCCCAAGTAATGTGCATTTATCATCTAAGATTGTATTGTTTCAATGACATTCCTGTCGCATAAATTGTGCAGTAATTACCACCGTCGCACTATCATTTAGGTAAGGTCAAGTGTGCTAAACAAAAAGAGTAGAAACTTACCTAAAGGGAAAAAGCCAAGATGTAATATGCTATCGTCTAGTTCCTTGAACAATGATCAGTCGCTTTTTCGTGTATAAGAGGTTTAAAGTGACCGAATCGAATAACGACACAGACCCTCAATTGCATGCGATTGAGTATTAAATTTTTGTCGGTCAGACGTAATTAAGTGTTTGTGCAAAACCAGAATATAGCCAAACAGCCAACGTTTCCCGTTTTGGGCCGGCTCATTAGATGTTAAAATGACTTTATCATTTTTGTGCATGGATAAACAACATGATTCAGAGCGTAAAAAGACACAATAAGAAAAAGAACAAGGGGGGATTGAGAACGGCTTATGAAATTACGAAAATTAATTGATTAATCATTGTCGACTCTATTAGCACCCAGATTCAAATTGCCGTTGCATGAAACACTCGAAAACGCAAACATTTCCAAACACGCTCATTCATATTTTTGTTTCTGCTGTTGTTGTTGTTGTTATTATTTGCCTTTCAAGTGTTTTGATAAATCCACATCGAAAAATAAAAAAAAGCGAAAATAATAACGTGAACGCCTCGAAGCAAGTCTGAAAAATGAACAAGGAAACATAGACAAAAATCTCATATCACGAAACACCTTTTTTTCTGGACTGACTGACTAATTTATTTAGTTGTTAAGCTGATAAATACAAAGAAAAGTACAGAAACCGTATTTCAGTATTGTGTCAGAACAATCAATACATCGCAAGCGCGCGCGCGCTCTACACATTTGCCCAATTAGAATTGTTCATGATTTTAAATTCATTGGTATTTACAATGGGAAAATTGAAACGGCCAACAACACAGCGAATGACGATTTGTGATTATTATAATCAATGCAACGAGCGCGCGATACAAACGAAAAGCAGAGAAGAAAAAAAAAATCGTGAACAGGAGAAAAATCTCGGATTTTATCACGTGGCAAGCGATTTTAATTAGCTGCAATTTACAGAAAAGATGTTGCGTCTTTCAGTGTCGATAAGCAATGCGGAGTGGAGCGGAGTGGTTGTTGGTGCGCGCACGAAGCAATTGCATATTCGCACGCGAATCACTCACTCGCTCATATTCCCGCGGCCTGATTGACTGTAGTTGATTTTTCGAATTCACACAAATCCAATTATTTACCCGTTTCATATCTGCGGGCATCGCTGTCATTGAATTATGTGAATGCTTAATCATCTGTGTGATAAGTGATCGTGATACAAAATCAAATTCATATGCAAATTCAAACATGAAATTCTATAGAAAAACAAATGATGGAATGACGACGATGACGGCGACGACTGTGAAGAGCTTACAAAAACTCGATGTACGAAACAATTCCTGAAAACAAAGCTTGATTAAGCCGGAATGAACGGACAGGATTCGGTTTTGGAATATATATTTTTTTTTCTTCTTGGCTTATTCGAACTAAGAATAGATCTATTCTTCCTCGTTGTGTTTTAACTAATTGTTCCGAAATTTGAGAACAATAAACGTGCTGATCATTTAATATATTTTGTTTTATAGAGTGTGTTTTGTTATTGTTGTACAGACACCACCGGCTCTAGTCATTTTGGAAAATATCGAATCGAAAAATTGTGTGCTGAAACTGAACATGATGAAGAAAGAAACGCTCAGACTCAGTAACAGTTTGAATCTATCCAATCTGTATGACATTTGCAAAAGTGGTTGGATGACAAAGCGTTCACAAAATAAAAAACGATTTACGCCGATCAACTACAAATTACGATGGTTCGAATTGACCAAACAGTTTTTGTATTATTTTGACACTGAAAATGTTGAGGTGAGTTTTTTGTTTAATTTTTTTTCTGTTTCTTTTATTTAATTTCCATTCTATTATGACTTAAGTTTATTTAATGGTTTCATTTATGTGTTCATTTGGATTTTGGGTTCATCATTCCATTTAGTTTTGACTCAACTGACTGACTGATTTAAATTTTCTGTGTTGCGAACCTGAACTGTGTGTGTATGTGTGTGCGCCGAGAATTGACGCGGTCTAATTCGGTTAATTTGCGTTGATAAGCGCGCGTAGCGATGAGTTCTACGGAACATAAGACACAAAAATGCGTTCATTGCTCTAGATAACCGTAAACCCAAGCCCAAGGGTTTATCGCACTGCGACGGATGCATTTCACTCAAAGTTCTTTTACCTTTGACCATCCACACTGGCTAGTCGATACGAATTCAATATAATATAAACACACACGAACGCATACTAAGAGACGAGACACACGGGCGCACACACTGAATATGACGAAGAAGAAAAAAAACAGTGCACACCATAACAATGGGTTTGCCACACCGCGCGCGCCAACCGGCCAAGCCAAAATCAAACAGTAATCACAGATGAATCGCATCGTTGTGCGCATATAAACACAGCCCGTCGACGACAACAACGACAGCGACAACGACGATGAACGTTGTTGCAACGCAAACAATGCACATATGTTCAATTGCAAAGAAGCCCCGATGGCAACAGCACATCCAATAACCCATACATTTGCATTCTTTGTGGCACAGAGAAGAATGAATAAAAAAAAAAACTTATTGTGTAATCGTCTTTCGCCCTTTGTTGCTTTTTGCTGCTATATTGCTACTGCTGGATCATCATTTAGCGAGTGTATATGTTGTTTGTTTGTTTTTGTCACCACCGCCACTTTGACTGCCTCTCCATCGAAATATATGCATTTGCTATCTCCACGAATTTGTGACGCATGCGCATTTTTCAATCGCCAAAAACGCTCGCACACACACATAGCTATATAGCATAATATCCCCTATGCATGTATTACGCATATATAGTCGGAATGGAACTGTCTTCAATTGAGTTTCGTTCCAACAATACACCTCTCAAACGCTTTGCGTTCTCCAATCCACAGTTTCTGTTCTAAACGGAACGCTGGGTTGTTCGCTTTTTCGGCAGAATACACACACTCAGTTTGTGTACGAAGTGCATAAAGTTCGCAGTATAACTTATCTATTAATATGAATTTGATAGTGCGATAAAATAAAAAAATAAGTTTTCAATTTGATCTCTTGATCCGGTTTCATGCTCTTTTATTCGACCAAAAAGACATAATTTTCCAACTTTTATGATTGGATATTGCAAGTGAAAACGAAATCGACGACGAGTACGGAAGAAGGAAAAGGAAGAACGGAAACGGTTTCGATTTTCAGTTTGTAAGTTCATCAAAACCATACACATATCACACACAAAACCCGATTCGGAAATTAACTCGGCTGAATCAATATCGAAATAAACAAGAATAACTTTAGTAGACAGACATTTGCCAGATTTCCAACTGTGCCATTTCTATTTCATCGACAAACGTTTGCAAATTTCAAATTATACATTTTATATGTATACACACAGAGTATTTGTGAGTGGTTGGTATCCACCCCAAAAATATGTTTTCGTCGTGTTTGTTGCTGCTCTCGTTCGCTTCGGTCGCGCGTTCGTTCGACGGCTCTTCTACCATTTCAAGTGTATTTGTGTGCGTTTCTCTGTTATGTGTGCTTGAATACGGAATTGAAATCGTACACTTTGTGAGTTGAGCTCGCCCAAATACATCTCCTGCATGGGTGATTTATACAGTTTGTTGTTGTGTTTTTTGTGCTGTTTTATTGCATATACAACGAATCAGTTTTCTTTCATTTTGCAATCAACAAATTTAGACAAATGATTGTATCGTCTTAAAATAGAGCCAAAAATTCCATATCACATCGTAACAAATTGACCGTTTTTTTTTTAAATTGAAAACAAAGGCGAAAAAAACGACAACAATCCAAACAGTAAAAAATATTAAAAATAGATTTTGATTGGAATCGGTGAAAGTTCTCAATTTGGCCAAAATTTTATGTAAATACATCGAAAAAATTACTCGTTTATTTATTACATCGCATTTCTTTTATTGTTTTTTGTGTTATTCCATTTAAACGTAAGTGGTAGTGTGTGATTCAATTAAATGGATGGACACAGACATGGATCAGGCATCAGTTACTATGTCAGATTTTGAATATTTACAAATGAAAGAGAAAAAACATATGAATTTAACATTTACTCGTTATTTTTCTTCCATCTTTAAAATTACAAATATGCGAGTCAAGATCACACGCCTTCGCAATAATTGCCATTTCTCACCGAATGGCGGTTGGTTCGCTGTTTTTATTATTCATTCTCGTCAAAGAGCGATTTCTTGTCGTTTATTCAATTTCAGCCAAAACATCATTATAATAATTTGCCGTGGCCCGGTGGAATGGACGCGTCGCTGTTTTTATGGCATTGTTTCCCATGTGTGTGTGTGTGTCGATTGTTTGGTTTTGAGTCGAGTTCTGTCTTTATTTTTCCCTTTGAACAAAACATGGACTCGGATTTGTTGATACATGTGTATGAGTGCATGTTCCTTATTCGCGCGGGCTTCTCGTATTTCGCTCGATAATTCGCGACAAAGTGCAAACGAATCGTCTGACCAAATGGTCCGAAACAATTGGTTGAAGTTCAATAACACTTGTTTTTTCTATATAGACTCGAGTTGAACGTAAATTCAATCCAAAATTATTGGCTGACACGAAATTACCGTGTTCGGCTCATCGAAACCGTGGGCGAAGTTGTATTCTCTTTAAAAGAAAATATATTAAAAAACCCAATGAAATGACGTATTCGAAACAAATAAGTCTTCGCTGTTGCGGAGCTGAGAGACGCTGTCGTTTTGCATCGATTTCAATGTGTAGGGAGGTGTTTGCTACATCAAATATTTACCTAAGCAAGAAACCATTATAGTTTTTCATCACCGTAAAAAATGCATAGACATATTTTGTGCAGCGCGTAAAATGAGACCGAGTGAGTGAGGAAGAAAATAACACGCACTTTGTTATTGAACCGCTGTGCATAGGGTGTGAGCCCTCCTTTAGCGCTCGTATATACATATAATATTTATTATCCATGCAAGTGTTCGATGTTCATGACTCGTTCAACGTTCATCCACTTCAACTTGTTTCCATGCCGCTTGATATGCCGTACGCACTAGTAGTAGAACCTTTTGTCGCACGCGTAAGTCACACACTTTGAAATGTGTGTGATTAGGTTATACCAAATACAGACAACAATAACCCAGCATAGTATCATTTCAATTACATCATTTCCAAAACCCAGTGACTCAAGAATGAATCACTCGGTTTCCATTTTACCATTTCGAAATGCTTTTTGAGACGCGTTAAGATTATTTGTCTATTTTAACACACGTTTTTTTTCTACAATATCATCCAATTCTGTTCGCACATTGAATGGAATAGAAGAGACACAGTCGATCCGCACGAGGCGAAATGCAGAACTCAACTTGACAACATAGTTGTTTTTTTCTACCGTAATTGCTGTCATAAACGGTCCTTCACGGAAAAATTCATACAATGCAACACACTCCAAGTGAAAAAGAAGACAGAGCGAGAGAGAGAGAGAGAGAGAGAGAGAGAGAAAGAGAGAGAGGGAATGAGAGAAAAAGTGACTGAAAAAATGCAATGAGACCAACGTGATTTTTGTAGACTCTTAATTACCTTGTTATGTGTTTTATATACAGTGTGCTACATGCTGAAAAAAGGCAGTGCCATTTTACTCGTCTCCTCTCGCTCTCTTCTCTTTCTGCTCTCTCACTCGGTCGGTCGGTCGGAGTGTGTTTCCAGTGAAAAAAACGAAATAAATATTCTCGATTCGCAGAGACAGAAAGCGAAGAGAACATTTGACCGACAAGCACGCTTTTGAATTCATAAACAAAATTGTACTTCGACTCGAGCCGTTTTTCAACATTGCACATTTTTATAATGCACACGCACATAGAGTACGTCGGTTCGTACAGCTGTGCGCAAGGCTACCGTTTCTACTAGACCTACAAACGGCACGATACAACTCTCTGCATTCTTCGTTATTCTGCTTTTATGCTTCGTTCTTTTGCCTCCAATCCATTCGGCGTTCTGTTGCTGCAGTACAAGACAACGACAGAACAACAGCGAAAAAAAACGGAGCATTTTCCAAAGTACAGAAATAAATATGGAGATGAAAAAAAACCCGAGAGAAAAAAGTGAACTGAGAACACAGCGAAATCTCCCGCAATGCTCTCGAATAAAAATGATATTTTAATGGAATGTTTTCGACGTTGTGCAGTGCGCGATGTGCTGCCACCCGAACACTATCTTAACACATTTTAGATATGAATATTCACTTATGCACACTAACTAACGAAATTTTTATTTGATTTATTCCATATACAGAAACGACGTGAGCGCGGTCGCATTTCAATAAAAGGCATACGATTGGTCGAGCCAGCTGTTCTAAACCTCGACGGTGGTGATAGTTTAGCGCCAGATGTAAGTATCTCAAATCAACTGAAATATCGATATCAAATGCGTCGTTTGTTTCGTTTTGCCTCTTCTTCTTCTTCTTGAATCGTCATCCCTTTTGGGATTCAAGGGTTGATGCCGTGGCATCAGCCGTGCCATAAATTAAATTCTTCGGTAGACATCGAATACTCATTTAATTCCGTGAACATCATTTTTCAAACATAAGGTGCTTTCGTTTTTTTTCTTCGGCCTATTTTTTTCCATCAAACGGTCATTCATGAACGCCATTCAATCTGAATTTCACTTTGAGCAACTTTTGTTTTTCTTTACATTATCTGCTCGGCTTCGAATGAACAGACTGCGTATGTGGGCTTTTAACAGCCTTTAAAAGCAGACAAAACACTTTCATTGTTTATACTTTTGTTTTTTTTGTTCTGTTTTTTTTTTCGGATTTGTGTTCAGTATTTTTTTGAATTGAACATGCGCAAATATGACGCTCACGAAAAATAATAAAACCGAAAGTAATTGAAATACTTTTGCACGATTGTTATTTGTTGTATTCGAATTGTTTTATTTTTTCTCTTTTGTTCGTGTGTTTATTCGCGTGCTCATCAGCAATATCACAGTCAGAGTCAGATAAACATGAACAAATATATATATATAATTTTCAACAATGATAATGAGGCCGACAGCTCTCTCTTCGCATTGAGTTGTTAGTGCAGGAATTTCCCCAGCGGCTAAAAGAAGAAGTGAAGAAAAACAACGGAACATCCAGACGGTCGGTTGATGGAGAGAAGAAAAACCAAGATGATGTGTGTGTGCGGCTTTTATTTTGAAATAAATCTGCGTCACATTTTATTCACTTTTGTTTTCATTCAGTAGTTCATTAATAATAATGAAAACGGCTTTTCTCTTTTTTCTCTCTTTCAAACACAAAAAAAACGCAGGGATTCTCGTTTCAAATCGGCTATTGCGAAGTAGATGATCAATTACCCGGTCGATCGATACCACAATATACTCTGTACTTAACAGTTGCCAATGAAAAAGAGCGTCTCGATTGGATTCGAGCATTGAGAGCTGGTAAGTTTGAATGGTGGCCTTTTTCTTCTCGTCCACAATTTTTTTTTACTCAATTGAGACTCGAAAAAATGACATCTGCAGACACTTCTGGTCTACAATAGAGATTGTTGAAGGGAATTTTCATTCTTAGCAAACGTCCAATTTGGTATTGTTGTTATTGAAAAATAAATTATCACTTTATGCATACCTACATATTTAAATGATGGCTCCGCGTCATAAAATTTAAATTTTTTCTCTAGTGGACTTGATAAGATAGAGAAAGAAAACAATCGATTCGTACGTGTGTTTAGTCACACTGTGTTGCGCCACGTGTACAAAATCGTTTCATTAGCAAATGTTCGTCAGAAGAAGAAAAAAATGGGAAAAAACCCTAATTTAAGTGTTTCAAGTCCTTCATCGAAAATATCATAATATTTTATTTGTAAGTTTACACAAATCGCTTTCGTCTGAATGGAAATCGTCTTTGAACAATCTTTATGTCACATTTCTTCAAAAATTTCCATTGTTTGCATGATTTTTATTATCCATGAAACGAAGAAAATAACCTTATTTACCCAATTTATCTACTTTTTCCGTTCTTTTGTTTCTTTCTCTCTCTCTCTCTCTTTCTCTATCGCCTTCCTTTCAATTTCTCTTATGTGCCGTTTTCGCCGTGCAACCAAACACAACCACACACTGCCTGTCAAATGCCCAGTTTGCGAAGAAACGTATAGCCCAAAATCATACAGATACCATCCTGGTTTATGGTCAGGAAAGAAATGGTCTTGCTGTAAGACTGTGAATCGTACAGCATTTGGATGTCAAGCAGCGACACATTGGGCTGAAACGAATAACAATCCATCTCCAAGTAAGTTATCTACATTTTCATATAACGTTTACACTATATATATGTATTCATTTGCGCAAAATGGAATAAGTATGATATAGCAGAAGAATAGAGGTCTTGTGAATGACAAAAATGCTATCGCCTTGGTATCAGTCGATGAAATGCACAAGTAAATGTAACGCATCACTAAAAGAATCGATTGCTCGAAGGCGATGAAAATAAAGCGAGCATTTTCACACAAAAATGGTATTGATTTTGAAGAAGGCGAGTAGAATTTGGCTCACAAAATGCGAATGGGATGAAGCAAGACGAAAAGAAAATAACAAATCGACAAATATTTAATAATATTTGAAGTAAATCGTGTTACACACACACACAAAAATTCTAAATCAATTGGAAATTCATGTTTACTTCTGTTTATATCTGTTAGTGTCTATGGTGTGGCCTATGAAAATACCATAAAACGAATGCAACAATGAAAATCCGCACACAAGAAAACAGCCCAACAACAACGGAATTCATTCATAGTCCTTTTGTCCCTATGGCTGTCTATCTCTCATGGCTCTTTGGCGATTCGCTTCGACCCGGACACCGTTTGTTATATTAACGATCGAATTTCACTTGTAAAATCGGAGAATAGAAACAAACAAACAGGCAGAGAAAAAAAAACGTAACAACGAATTAGTTTTACTGATTTCGGCCATTTGAATGGATCAATGGATATTTGCCGCTTTCTCAGTTCTTCATCTATTAATTCCAGTTTAGTTATGCTACGATTGTGTTTGCCATTGACAATGGGCCGATGATAAAGAGAAGAAAATTGGGATAGAGGGAAATAGCTCTCTCCAAATTTAGTGTACATTTGTTTGTGTCCTTTTTCTTTCTTGTTATCAGTCATCGTCACAAAGTGGCACAACAAATGAAATTCTCTTGAAAAAAAAGGCAGCACAAATCGGTCCAGCCGAAATAGAGAATAGACAAGAGATACATTCAATAGGTTTTCAACACATACCGCAGTTGCCAGTTCACTTCGTCTCTATTTTCTTCACTTGTCTGTGGCTCATTCATTGCCCATTTGAAACCGAAGAAGCAATTATACAAAGCAAGAGATTTTGACGGCAATGTTATTATTAGCGATCTTCGACTTCGTCACCACATGCAGTGAAGGTTTACTTTAGTTTTCTCCTTTGCTCTCTTTCTTTCAAAGAACCAGATAATAAAAAGCCGTTTTATTCTCTCCAAACACAAATGCTAGATCTGTTTGTAATTTAATTTGCGTGTATTGTTGTTGGCATTGCAGTCGAGGAATGTGTCGGAAAATTGAGATAGAAAATGTGAAGCGGTAGCGGCAAATTGCTTGTGATCTGTGTGTGATCGGATTCTTTTTTTTTTCGAAAGGAAAAAATGCAACACAATGCGATAATAAGAAGTTAATGTGCCAAACGATGATGATAAAGAACGTATCGAATATTTCGATGAGACACAAATGGAATTGAAATGAATTGCTTCGGTTGATATGATCTAGATTTGTTGTTTTGTGTAATACCGTGTGGGCTGTTCAACATACATAAATAAGGCGAATTATCAGTTATTTTCAAGTGAATTCATATAATTTTCTCGGTACAGAATGGCCGGAGAAACGCCAGCAGGAAGCAAATGATATAATATGAAATGTTCTTGCTTCATATTCTGATTAAAAACAATGACTTTCACATACGTATTCAATACGATTCGAAATGATTATACATTGGAAAAAAGGCCAACGCTTACGTAAAAAAAGAAATTCACACAATAAAAATCAAACCTCAACCGACTCCGATTAAAAGCCAAATTGCTACTCATCACGCACTATTTTTATTGTTTGTCATTTTCGCCCAGAATAGCAATTTACTTTTCTTCCGTATTCTCCCACTGTCGTGTTTCGAATTTTTGAGCAAGACATAAAATCAACTCAAGACACATGTTGAGAAGTTCTCAATCGGACATGTGTTTGATCGGTTTTTTGAGGTTTTGATCGACAGATTGCAACCATTTAATAAAAACTGAAAACGAAATTTTGCTACTTCACTAATTAATCAGACATTTTGATCTGCATTCAATCCCATTTTGTGTTTATTTTAAATTCTCCAAACCAGAAAATCGGGAACGAAACACATGGACGTAGTAAAATTCAGTAGACTAAACCAAATGAAATGAAGTAAACAATTTTAAACGGCACATAAATAAAATAAAATTATTGTAATGCAACCGAAATTGTCAAAAATCACAAAGCAAAAGCAACGAATTAGCCCGAAGAAGAAACCACTTTCTGGTTTCCATATTACAAACATGTTGTGTGCTCTTTTGTAATTATGCATGAAGCAGTGAAGAAAAAATCGGTTTGTAAATGTGGCGTGTTTCGTAAAATATTGAACAAAACTTACAGTTGGGCCTCAGATGGTTCATAAAACAGTCCTTATTACAGCCGCTATGCATATGTTAGACCAACCAAGGCATGGCGAACAAAATGATGAGAGAGAGAAAAAAAACTATTCCTTTTCTTGCTTCTACTTTTGCCGGGTTGTTGTTTTTTCTCTCTCGCAAGACTATTTACACCACAATGGTAAACGAAGCGGACACTTGCAAAGCCAAAAGAGTTCTCATGCAATTCTGTTACGTCTTCGACACATTGAAAACGAATGCATTGACTTGTTTTTCACTTAAATTATGATTATGGCGTTTCGGGTGCATGTGTGCAAACATCGTTGGAAGCTCATGAAAAAGGAGAGAAAAAAACACACATGAACAACGAGCGATAAAACGTAGTTCATGTACGAAATTGAATAAGAATACCAAATTGAGCACATCACAATCGTATCGAAAAAGCGTCATAAATACGTGTGTAATATGCCATATATATCAGTATCGGTATCATTAGACGCGGTGTATGCTTAGTCGCTCACGCGCCCACCGAACCAATGCAACATTGTTGTATCGGGTCCTACAAATGGAGTGCGATAAATAAATAAAAAGAGTGTACTTTGTACTACCACCGAAGAGTGTACAAGTTGATACTACGATCGAAGCAACCAGCCAACCGCCCGGTGAACTCGCTTAACCGTGATGAATTTATAGCATTTTCATTTGCTCATATCACAATTTCACATTACTTTGTTGCTCATAATTTTTGTCGATGGGATTTTTTTACTGTTTCCTTTCCTGTCTCATTCTTCTCTCTCTCTCTCTCTCTCTCTCTCTCTCTCTCTCTCTCACTCTTACGCGCATTTTTTTTTTCACTCTTTGGTTAAATGGTTTTGTTGCATGAACTGCGCGTGTCTATCTGCGCGCACGTGTGTGATTTATTTGTATGCACATATCGACCAATTCCACACGGCTGCCTTCTCGTTGATGTTGTTTTTGTTCCCAATGATTTCTGTTTGGTTTTGTTATGGGTTACCTTGCCGTGCGCGCGCGAGGCGGCACATTCGCTGCAGACACGGTTCAAACCGAATATGTAAATAGGTTCATAAATTAAGTGCACTTTCAGTAGGAGTTTTTGACTTGAACACACCGAGAAAAAAAAATCACAATCAAAATTAATTGGAATGCACAACCAGATTCTCTCAAAGGGCTTCTTTGAAATGAGAGAGAAAAAAACCATCCATCGTTATTTGCGTCGGCTTCTTTTCCATTACTTATTTTCTTCATTTCCATTAAATTTCGTTTGCTCGATGACTTTTATTGCACTCGAATTTGAATTTAAAAGTGGCGTTTAATTACAGAAAAAAAGCGAAGATTTCATATGCCCAATGAGAACCACGGTTTTAGGTTGCAATTCAATATCAATAGTATCAAAAGCGCATATACATAACAATGGGCGCATTTGAATTTAATTTTTAACGACTTTGACTTTGAGCCAAGTCGCTAGAAATTGGTTTGATTTGCATTTCATGTACACGCTTAAAAAAAAGTAAAAATACAAATCAAACACAGAGAAAGAGAGAAAAAGATCCTGAACACACTTTAACTATCGAAGCGCTTTGTGTTTTGAATCGCAACACAAAGATTTAATGTTATTTTATCGGTGCATGAATCGACGAAATAAACATCTATATACATAAAGTCAATTATCTAGAATTTAAAGTCAACACACTCCTATTTTTCTTTGTGTTCTGAAAACGTAAACGTCGCTTTGTGTGTGAAATGGAGAAAAAAAGAACTCATACACATCGAGTCGAGTCGCGACGAATTAAAATGGATTTATTTGTATTTCAATTTCTTAGTATCGCTTATCCTTCAGGGGGGCTTCCTCTTTTTGTTCGTTTTCTCTCTCTCTCTCTCTCTCGCACGCGCACAACAGTCGAGTCGATCAATAGACAATTTATGAGCGAGTTTTATCGAAGTGACAGAGTGAAACGCGACGCAAAAATAAAAAATGCGTCATCACGCATCATGATCACACATTTAAATAAGTGTTCGATGCGATAAAAGTGCAATGAGCACTCTCGCGCTCTCGTTTGAACGAGAGAATATAATTAAACAAAGAAAGAAATGTGAGGATGGAAAAGGATCGTAATGGGAACGGAGAACGCGTTCTCTATCGCTAAAACAGAGCGATGATCAAATCGACGACGATGAATTAGCTTGTGCATGTGTGACACAAAGGCGAATTCCACTTCGAAATCGAATCGGCGAGAAAGAACTATAATCAAATTGAAGCGAGGAGACAAGAACGAAGAAGGAAAAAAAAATTGAAAATTAAGATTAAAAACGAAATCAACAGAAACGAGGTATGCGCGGGTGCGCGCGCACATATACACACACCCGCTCGCTGGCATCGATGTAAGGCGAAAAGGAGAACCGAACGAAACAAAAGCTGAATATGTATAAAAATCTACATTCAAACAGTGTGGTGGCCCGGCGTGTTTGTATTTGTTATGCGCGCATTCAAACGAAGAGCGAGAGAGAGAAAAAACTCGTATACATCGCACTCTATCGCCGCGGCCACTGACCTCAAATACTGGATACGGATTCCGTTTTAT